GTTACTCAGACCGCGCCCAAACCTCATTCGCCCTCACCTCACTCCTCCTCTTCCTTCCCAAAATTATCCCAGTGCGACCCTACCTAGGAGTTGGAGCCTCTGGGAAAGATACATTCGTAGGAGCTGTAAACGCCGTCCTCCTCCTTCTCCCCATCGTCGTGGTTGTAGCAGTAGCGGTAGTAGTAGTAGTAGTAGTAGTAGTAGTAGTAGTAGTCGTCGTCGTCGTCGTCGTCGTCGTCGTCGTCGTCGTCGTAGTAGTAGTAGTAGTAGTAGTAGAAGTAGTAGTAGTAGTAGTAGTAGTAGTAGTAGTAGTAGTAGTAGTAGCAGTAGTAGTAAGTAGTAGTAGTAGTAGTAGTAGTAGTAGTAGTAGTAGTAGTAGTACTAGTAGTAGTAGTAGCCGTCGTCGTCGTCGTCGTAGTAGTAGTAGTAGTGGTAGTGGTAGTGGTAGTGGTAGTGGTAGTAGTGGTAGTAGTATAGTAGTAGTAGTAGTAGTAGTAGTAGTAGTAGTCGTAGTAGTAGAAGTAGTCGTAGTAGTAGTAGTAGTAGTAGTAGTAGTAGTAGTAGTAGTAGTAGTAGTAGTAGTAGTAGTAGAAGTAGTAGTATCGGGCCGGGCGAAAGAGGGGGATAGCAAAGGGGGGGTTTGAGAATCAGCTCACGTAGCTGATTTTCCCGGCGCCTCCCGGCGCCGGAGGAGACTATGTATCGAGAGATGGGCCCCTCGGTGAGGCCGAAACCAGCTGCATGCAGCAAATGTCGTAACCCCCCCTTTCCCAATCCCCCCCTTTCGCCCGGCCCGCTAGTAGTAGTAGTAGTAGTAGTAGTAGTAGTAGTAGTAGTAGTAGTAGTAGTAGTAGTAGTAGTAGTAGTAGTAGTAGTAGTAGTACTTCGCCGGCTCAACGGGCCAAAGGCATGCTAAGATCTCCGGTAATTGCAAAATAATACTTCTACTTCGCGCGCGCGGGGCGGCCCCTGGGGGTCCCCGGACGAAACGTACCCCGGGCGATCCCCGGCAGACTCGGGTCAGAGATGGTTTTTCTCCTGGGCGCCGCCCCCGTGGCCCTCCAGAGAGCCCCAAGAAGGGCCAAGAGGCCGCCAAGAGCCCTCCAAGATGGTTCAAGAGTGCTCCGAGATGCCACACGATCGTTCCAAGACGCCCAAGATGGCCCCCAGACGCCACAAGAGGCCTCCAAGAGCACTTCCCAGAGGGCCCCAAGAGGCAAAATTCATTACTTGTCCTTAGGTTTTGGGCAGATTTTGGCGTGTCCATCTTTTCAGCTTCCAGACGCCCCAAGACGGCCCAAGAGGCCCCCAAGATCGCCCCAAGAGGGCCCAAGAAGCTCCCAAGGAGGCCCCAAGATTGCCCAAGAGGGCTCCAAGACGGCCCCAGAGGCATCCAAGACGGCCCAAGAGGGGCCCAAGAAGGCCCCAAGCGATGCCCCAAAGGGGGAACACAAAACAAAACTTCGAGCCCTCGGCCTTAAGAAGCCCCCAGGAGGCCTCAAGAGGCCCCTGAGAGGCCCCAAAAGCTCCCAAGAGGCCCTCAGGAGGCCCCCAAGCGACGCTGAAGAGGCCCCCCAGCGGCCCCAAGAGGCTCCCCAAATGCCCCCTCCAGCACGCAAGCAAATGCCAACGACCCGACGCGTTTAAGAGTCCCCACGAGGCCACCAAGAGGCCTCCCAAAAAAGCCCCCATAGGCAACAGGCTTCCACACGGGCCACGACGCAGTAGCATCCGCGGACCCCTGAAAAACGAGGTGCCGTAGGGCGTACGGCACCGAGTCGCGCTCTCACAAGCTTACTTAATCCCTGTGGGATCCTGTAAAGAATCTCTGAGCCCCTCCAAAACCCATTCCACGTCGACGTTGGTGCGGAGACCCTGCACAAGCCAGCTCATGGTCATGCCCTGCCACGCTGGTCTGCCGTGTTGGCCAGTCGACCAAGTCTGCCGACTGAGGTGTAGCATCCGTCGAAAACTGTACGAGCCAGCGCCCCGAAGAAGCACCTGAAAGACCCCCACAAGCCCCCAAGAAGCCCACCACAACCCCCAAAAGTCCCCAAATCCGGCAAGGCTCCGAAGAGGCCCCAAAAATAATCATCAACACTTCATCCTAAGAAACTGCCTAGAGCTCTCCGAAGCGACCCCGAGCGTACCCAGGAGGACTCTAACCTTCTACCAAGGCACGGTGGCAGGATCCCCTTCGAAACTTTTCGCCCCCTCCTGGACAGCCCCGGCTAATCTCGAAAGTCTGCAGAGGTCTCTCGGGCCATCTTGCCACTCTCGCCCCGCTGCTGCCCAGCTACGCGTCTTCCACAAGCGCGGTGGCGGATATGCGCGGCTCAGTCATGCGAAATGGGCCGGCGGAATGAGCGAAGCGATTCAATAATAGTAGTAGTGGCGTCAGAACCGCCGACGCCACGCCGTAAGTGAAGCAGCAGCAGAAGCAGGCAGCAAGTCGCCGAGACAGCAGCAAAAGCAAGCAGGCACGGAGATGAGGGCGGGGCACTGGGGAGTTCTTTACATCTACATATATATCTACACCTACATCTACATCGACACCTACATCTACATCTAGACCTACATCTACATCTACACCTACAGCTACATCTACATCTACACCTGCATCTACATATACCAGCACCAGCAGCAATAGTGGATGCTGTGCTGCGCTATGCTATGCTATGCTCTGCTCTGCTCTGCTATGCTATGCTGCGCAATGCTATGCTGGGCTAGGCTAGGCTATGCTATGCTGTGATATGCTGCGCTATGCTATGCTATGCTGCGCTGCGCTATGCTATGCTATGATATGCTATGCTATGCTATGCTATGCGTTTGCTTTGCCTTCGCGATTGCCTTCACTTTTGCCTTTGCCTTTGCTTAAAACTTGGCACCCAGGGAGCGCAACTGGGGGGAACCGCGCGTTTACTTTTACCCTTGCTGTTGCTTTTGCTTGGCTCCCAGGGGACTGGGGGAACCGCCCGGGGCGATTTCCACTGCCCGGCCCCTTTAAGCTAAGAGGGTAAGAGCCCTTCTAGGCAGAGCCTAGGTAGGGAATTAAAAGAAACTCACACTCAGAGTCACTCATACTCTGACCCACTCACACTCAGACCCAATCACACTCAGACCCACCCATGCTGTATACTCAGACTCGCACATACGTACCATTAGACCCACTTATACTAATTCACACTCTGACTCACTCACACTCAGGCGCTCGTTCGCGCCCAGGGAACGAGGATGTCTCAAGCGAGGCGCTGGCGTCAGCACCCCACGGGGGAACCGCCAGGGGTCATGACACGGGCGCGTTCGCGCCCAGGTTGTGGAGATGTCTCGGGCGGTGTGCCTATGCTGGTGGCTGACATCCTTTGATTTCGGAACAATTTAGCAGGATGTCTCAAGCGAGGCGCGATCTCCAGCGCCCCAAAAAGAGCTGCCAGGGTGTATGGCACGGGCCCGTTCGCGCCCAGATGGTGGGGATGGGGATGTCTCAGGCGAAGTGCCTGCGTTGGTGGCCATCCTCCTCTGCTTTCAGAGCAGACTGTGAGGATGTCTGAGGCGAGGCGCTGGCTTCAGCACCTAAGGGGGAGCAGCAAACGGGTTATGACATTGGCCCGTTCGCGCCCAGATCGTAGGGACGTCTCAGGCGAGTTGCCTTTGCCGGTGGCCGACATCCTCTGACTTCGGGGCAGTTTGTGAGAACGCCTCACGCGAAGCGTTGGTTTCAGCACGCCACCGCCAAGGAGGTATGGCACCAGCCTCTCGCGCCAAGATAATGGGGATGTCTCAGACGGCTTGCCTGTGATGGTGGCAGAGCCCGCTGCGTTCACAGAAATGTGCGTGCATGTCGCAAATGAGGCGTTGGTTCCCGCACGCCAAGGCGGGGCCGCCAGGAGATATATCACGGACCCGTTGGTGCCCAGTTTGTCTCACCCATCACACTCAGACTTGACCGCACTTAGACACAATCGACCCACACCCACCAGTACTTCGACTCGCTCACATTCAGGCTCGCTCGCGGCCAGGCTCACTCACACTGAGACCGAAGCACACTCGGATTTACTCTTACTGGGGCCCGCCATTCCTCAGACCCACAAGTGCGCACACTCACTTGTACGCACACCCACTGACACCCAGACTCACACCTACCATACTCATACTCGTACTCTCACTTACACTCAGACTTGCTCACCCGTACACAGACTCACTCATACCCAGGCGCACCCGTACTCAGACTCTTTCACACCTGGACCCGCTCACATTAAATACCAATGTTTCCTGGGCTCCCCCACGCCCATAATCACACACCACCACATCGCTCACGCCCAGATTCATTCGCAGTCTTCCCTTGTTTGTTTGTTCCATGTTCCCTAGCTTTTCACCTGTGCTTCCTTCGCCTCTCCTGAAAGAAACCGAATGAGATACTATGCGTATGGAAAGTTATACTCGCGGGCTCAAGTTTCCACTGCGTGCGCATATGGCCCAAGCCGTCTGCGGACAACACGCAATCATACAATATATGGGCGACGAGGCCAGCTGCGCACACGCGCCCACATGAGAGCGCACAGGCAGGAATTCACACACACACACACACCCAACACAGCTCTTTGGCCACAGCGTCTCGGATGTGAAACCCGCCAGCGTGCGAGGGCAAACATGAAAGTATATGGATGTGGAACTGGAAATCGCTACGCGTGTTTCGCTGAGGTGCCCGCGCGCCCGACTGCCTGCCGATCCAGGTGCTCCCTCTCGGAGAGCCTGGCATGAGCTCCACGACTGGCCTTCTCTGCCACGCGCATCTGTTGGACATGTGAATGCGCGTTGGGCGCATCAACTTGGTGAGAAACGCAGCGTTGGGCAAGCGCGCGGTGCAAGCACCTGCGGGCACGAGATGACGCTGGACCCAACGGGGCTCGCTTCTCGCGGATGTAGCACTCCACGTCGGCATGCAAACCGCGGTCCTTCCGTCTCCTGGCTGGGGCGACGACATGCGAGAAAAATGCCGCCAATCTCGGCACAAATTGTGCCAATGTCGACTGCGGTCACGCCCCTCAGCTGTTGCATCTGGTCGACGCCCTTCTCCGCTCCACCAGGCGTTGTGACGTCCAACTCCAAGACTGCAATGCCATGTCCGATGAGCTCCTTCTCGTCCTGGCGCGGTTCGGCGTCGCGCAGAGCGGTGGGCCAGCTTGCTGAGTCGATCGGCCACGCTGCTCCTCCGCCTTGCCATACCACTGGTCAATCCACAGATTTCACGGCCCAATCGAATGAAACTCCCAGTCGGATAGCCGAGAGATTGGGGGTTCCTTGGGCTGGTGGCTCTGCTGGCAAGTAAGGCTTGGTCCTCTGTCTCCGATCGCCCTGCATTAGCGCCGTGGCATCGTCGCCGACGTTGGCCTCGAATCCTCGGGACGCCGTGACTTGCGTGGCGATGCGGAAGGTCAGCTGTTCAAGTGGGCAACTTTTCTCGATCTCCACTGTGCTAGGGCCCTTGAACCCGTGCGCGGCCCGCCTTGCCGCCCCGCCTCGGCCGCGACGCCCTGCTCCGCCTGCTTCCAGCGTGGCAAGATGCGGCTAGTAATGATCCGTTCGCCCAGCTCCTTCTCGACGCGCCTCCTCTAGCAAGGTGATAGTGATGGCCTTGATTCCGACGGCTGCGTTCCAATCCTGGGCAGTCGCTGCGATAATCTGCGACCAGTCATCCTCGCCAGCGGCGCGATGCTGAAGCTCCGCGGTCTCGGACTTCGCCCTCATAAAATGAAAATTGCCACGGTGGCTGAGGCGCGCCCGCGAGTCCTCGATAGTGAGCGCCTCGCGCTTGCCGTCCTGGCCTCCCTCCATGCGCCACTGTCAAGACAGCGGTAGTGCCAAGCCTCGTCCATAGCGGCATAAACGCCCTTCTGCGCCCGTGGTGTTCGCTCGCGCTTGCGCCGCCAATGACGTCGCAGACCTCCACGAAGCGCATGTTGCCGTCCAACTGCTGCAAAAACGTGTTGGACTCGGCGAATCCCGCGGGCGCCGGCCGCGGAGCCCTGGCGCCAGCTGCTGTCATTTCCGAATTGCTAGAAGATAAACGCTGCCAGTCCGCTTCCAGGTCGCCCAACCTCGGCCTGCTCCCCGGCGGTGGCCCTGTCGTTTCCACCCGAAGGAAGCGAAGCTAGGAGTGAACTTTCTGGCTGATCACTGGCGCGTCGCGAGCGCTCGTCATCTCCTCCATCAGCTAAGACTTGCCGTGGGGATCTGCGCCAACGGCCTCGTCAAACTCTGGCGGTGCACCTTTGCAGCTGAAATCTCGAAAACCTCGTTGCTGATAAACCGTGGTGAGCCCCCCCTTAAGGTCGAATCTCATATCCTTTGCGATCTTCGCTCATGCTCTCCCCGTCGGCGGCCGCTCGGACCTGGATCCTGTCGCGTTCGAAGTCTCGAGCGCGACATATACCCGCACCCTTACCTAGGCAGGGTGGCAAGGGGACGGGGGGGGCGGTTCGTCGCAGCTGACGGCGGCTGCACAAGTGTAGAAACGACAGCCGATCGAGCATTACACACCGCTGTCTTCTCGGGGCGCACGTTAGCACCAATCGCACGTGCGTTCGAATCGGCGGAGTGCCCGACCCTGCGCTGGTTGTTGTCGATGTAGACCAGCTACTGCGGAGGCGCGCCCTCAGGCACACATCCGTGCGTTGAGGAGTCAACGCGCACTCGGGGGCGCATGCGAACAACTCTGGCGCGAACGTCATTGCGCGACAACCGCCCTATCGCGAATTGCTCGATGCAGAAACATCGCGAATCTGTGCCCTGGGCGAGGTCGCCACAAGCCGCCCCCCTTAGACGGCCGTCCGCGGATCACCCCGGCTAGGTGCGGTTGCCCCATGAAAACCCCAAAAAATACCCGTACCTAGCCGGGGAGCCGCAGCTCACCCCAGCTAGGGCCGGGTATGTTTCGGTGGTTTCAGGCAGGTCCCCGTACCTAGCCGAGGTGGCGGCAGGCCCAAAACGCTCTCGAACACAGATCATGCCCTCCAGAGCCGTCCCCGACGTGGCCGCTGCGGCCCCCTGGGGGCGCGACATTGCAACGTCGTTCCCCAGCGCAGGCCCAGACGCATTGGTTGCCAGGATACCGAGGAAATGCAACTCTTTATCGATTGGGACAGGCGCCGCCACATATAGGCGGCTTTGAACCGCGCACGCACCACGATGCCCCGAGACGTCCCTAACAAAAACCAGCGCTTGTCGCTGCAATCAGACACCCAGCCATCGAGCGCGCCATTGCGTCTTGACGCGCGGATGCTGCACTGGCGCGCGCGAGGCAAGCTGACCGGGCACAATAGCAAGCGCCCAGTCCCCCGGGCGGCCCATCTCACCTTGGCTGGCCCCGGGCACGGGTATCTTTCGGACCAATGACGAAGGGCGCCCCGCGTGCGTGCGAGCGCCGCGCCACAATTCTGGGTTGTTGATATCACCGCAACTGGACCGCCCCATCCTACCGTGCAACCGAGCAAGGCTGTCGAACTGACAACCTTTTCCAAATAAAAATCACCTTCCCGTCCTTAAGCGTCTCCTGATGCGTCCTCATGCGGCTGTTCAGCGCCTCCTGTAGAACTCGCTGGCCGCTGAGGCCCTCCGCCACTTGCGCGGCCGCCCGCCGCGTGGCCCGAGCTCGCCGTCGCCCGACCGACGGTGTGGCGCCGGGCATCTCTGGGCAGATGGCGTCGTCGCTGGGTGGGCGCCCTGGTAGTCCGCTGCTGTCGCCGGACACCCGCTGCGCTGGGCTGCGCCCTCTCCAACGGGCGAGTCGCTTCTCGGCCTGTGCAAAGAAATCGGCTAGATTGTCCACCTCTGCCGTCGAGTGGCACGGCTCGCTGGCCTCGGCCTTGTGGCGCATGCTTTTCCACCAGCCGCCGCGCCTCTCCGTCGCGCCGCGCTCCCACGGCGAATTCATACAACCTGCGCCAGTGCAACGCACTCCCGGGCTCGATCCTGGAACTCGGTCTAACACTCCTGAGTCGGCCACAAGAATCTGCTGGCCAATCATAACGACGCCATGTCCGCCGACCTACGCCGTCATGCTGCCGTTGACGCGCTCCACCAACGCAGTTCCAAACCAAGAGCCGTTTTGACCTTGAATGTATCGAAACCAACTCATTGCGAAACCGAAGCTCGCAATAGTGCCGCCAGGTGGCGCGGTCAGGGTCGCCCGTTTAGACGCGCGGGCCAGACGCGCGAAGCATCGCCGTGCCCAGCCCAATATGGAACTACAGACGCGACCGTGACGGAGAAACCACATGAAATCACGAGATTCAGGATGTCCCATGTGAATATAGGGCAGTGAAACAAATCAATGTTGCAATGTGGACGGTCTCTCTATCGCGTCGATAATCAGCTCCTCCTCGACTTCTTCCTGATGTTGAACCGGTTGCCCGAAATCGGGCCCGAGGCTGTCGCCTTCCGCTTCTGGTTCCATCTCGCCCTCCTTGCCCATGGGGGCGCGTCCCCATGTCGATGATCCTTCGCGATCGCCTGAAATAATTTCTCGGCAACTCCGGCGACGCGGTCATCTGCGAGCTGCTCCGTTGCGCCCGAGGACTGGTAATGGCCCTGCTGGACGTGCTGGTTGGCCTTCGCGCCCTGCAGGTAGGTGGCGATGTCGGCCCTCCAGGGGCTTGACCCATCCTTGTAGAATCGCGTAGCAGACCTGCGGGGGGGCACTCCCTGGCCAATCTCGCATACTTGCCGCCAACGAAGCATTTGTGCTCATAACTGCTCTGTGCATCGCCTCACGACTACCTTGAGGATCTCCGTGCCATTGCTGAGACTGTCGTTTTGGTCTGCGGTTGAGCTCGCCGCCGCCGGCGCGAAGCTTGAACTCGCAAGTCAGCGTCGACCTAGCCGACGCCATCGATATCCGCGAGCGCCCGCGCGCAGGGCTGCTCCAATGATCGAGCGACCGCGGACTGCTCGGACAAGAATAGGCCTCCATGCTCGTGCTGCTCACGGGCGAGAGCAGCGCGGCACTCCATGAGCTCGAGGCCTGCCCGCTAACCGCTGCTCGCGACATCCTGTTTCCGCTCGCAGTTGGACAAGTCGCGGATTCGGCTCCAGGCCTTGGGCGGCGGGCTCAAGGAGGAGCGGTGCCCCCCTCTCGATGCACACGCTGGCCTTAGCCCCACGGGCCTCCTTGATGAGGACGAAGCCCGTGACCGAGCCCAGCGCGCTCACGGCCGCATCCCACGCTGCTTGCAACGCAGCGACACTCGCGGCATGCTGCACGGCAGCGTCGGCCCAGCGCGGTGGGCCGCGCCAGGGGCCCCCGACACCCTACTCCTCCATGTCGAAACGCACGCTGGCAACGGCGCCGGCCCGAATCTCAAAGACGTCCGCGCGGTCAGTCGAGCTCCTGTCGCAGCTCTCTGCGATGTAGTCGGCCTGCTCCGTGGACCTGTCCAAATAGAAACTGCCGATCTTGTCGCCGTAGAGGTCACCGCCCTGCGCCGCCTTCGCGCTGACCGGTCCGATGGCAGCCGCCGCGCGAGCGCTCCGCGCAGCGCCCACACGCCCGAGGAATATCGAATCCCCCACGACATGTCCTCGTCCCTGAACGAAATCGCGATGGCGCTGACCTTCTCGAAGCGCTGGTGCTCGGGGCTCTCTGGTTTGATTTACTGGCCCTTGATCTCTGTTGCCCCCTCGCAAGTCCTCGCCGCGCCGGGGTGCGCGAACTTCTTCTCGCGCCTGCCGTGGACCCGCGACATCGGCGCAACGCGCGCGGGGCTCGCCGGCACTCGCGGTCTCGGCGCCGCGGAATGGGCCGTGGAAGTTCCACAGTGGAACCAGCGTGCGCTGCGGGGCTCCCGTCAGAGATCGGCACTCGCTCCCATCTCGCGCCGCGCATCATGCGCCGCTCGCAATAGCCCCCGTGGTTGCTTCCCGGCAAATGGGCGCCGCCGTGGGCGGCTGTGAACGCGAAGTCGCCAGGGCTGAGTCCTGGCCGGCCGCCGCCGGGACACTGGGGGCCGAACGCGGCTGCGGGAGGGGGCGCCGTTTGCTGAAACATCTTTAGCTTCTGTGTCATCATCCTCGGCGACGCAGCTGAGCTTAGGATTATTGGTTACGTTGCTGTTCGGCTTTGTCCCCCCGAACGTCACCGCTCGTAGCGATTGGAAAGATGCCGCGCTTCCGTTGCTGATTGCGGAACTCGTTGCCCTGCGCGCGCTGGCTGCAGCGCTCTGAGATGCTGCAACTGCTGTCTGCGATGGTGTACCGGCTGCCTTAGATGAGATACTTGCTATCTGCGATGGTGTACTGGCTGTTTCGGATGATGGCGATGATGCGTTCGCCGTTGTACTTGCGATGGGCGGCGGCAGTGGCCCCTGACTCGGCGGCGCCGGACTCGCCGTCCGAGGCGGCGGCGACGATGTCGGTGGGGGCGGAATCCGACGCGTGCTTCCCATTTTTCAGTTCCTGGTTCGCGCCATCCTGGGCGCGAATACGACAATGCTGATTGAGGTGCGTTCGTCGACGCAGATCGCGCGCAGGCTCTCGACAGCGCCGAGCTCGCGGCAAAACGCCCGGCCGCCCGAGTCGCGCTTGTTCAAGTCAATATCCATCGCTCTGGCGAGGCCCACTGGTAGCAGGGCAAGTGCAGGCTCGATGTCGCGCGGCGGTCGCCCCTCGACTGGCGCCCGTCGTGGCTGGAGCCCGAACTCCTTCAACTGTTCCGCGAGGGCCCGCAGCTGCCCCTGGCTGGCGATGCCATCCTGAGCGCCAGTGTCCACCAGGACCTCCCACGCGTTGATGGCGAGGCCGATGAATGCGGCGACAGTGCCACTGAGGAATCTGAAGGTACCCCGAGCAACTGATGATGCACTCGCGGGCTCCTCAATGCTAAACATCTTGCTGCCAGCACTCGCATGCATAAAAAAGCCCAGAGGCCTGCGCTGAGTAGATCGATTATGCGGGAACACGCGAGCCCAGTGACCAACCTGCGTACATTTCGCGCATCTTGTCCGAGGCTTCAGCTGGTCGATCGAGATCCGACGCTTCTGGCCCGCCTTGCCATTGACCTCGCCCTTGCTTTTGTTCCTTTCGAAATAGCCGTGCTTGCGGGGACTCTCGGGCTGAAAGAATACTCGCGCCGCCTCGTTCAGCTGTTTCCAAACACCTCTTGTACTCGACGGAGTAGGTCATGGCCGGGCGCATGTCCAGTGGTACCCATGGTCAATCCTCTTCCTCGCACCGTCGAGCCAGTCAGTCAAAGCCCAGATTGTAAACACCCTCCATCGGTTTCGCGCACGGGACCTGCAGTGCGCCCACGCCGTCGTCGCAGCCGTCGTCCTCGTATCCGAAAAATTCCATCGCGAGCGAACCGAAGGGGTCCGCGGCTTTTGTCGTGGCGCGATCGATCGGCGGTGGCGGCGGTGCCGAACCGTCGCCCTCCATGCCCATTTCCGCCGTAGAGCGTGAGCGTGGCAAGGCCTGACACCAGTCGTGGTCGTCCGGCGCATCGATCATGACAATCGAGCGGAGTGGGCGCCGTCGCAATCCTGTAGACTCTGGAACCTCCATCGGTCCATTCAATCACCGTGTCGTGGGACGGTTCGTTGGACCTGGCGAACCAAAAGGCTGAGTATCATTGAAGCGTGTTTGGTAACATGATTTGTTTGTCTTACAAACATGATGATACTCTCCTTCTTCCGGCCTCGGGCATAGGCTTAAAAAAACCTTCTCGAACGCCTCGGGAACCTCACCATCCTCTAAATGATGGCACGCGTGGTCCAGAACCCGTAATATCATCTTGACACGACCCTCACCGAGGAAGGCGTCATCCACGATCTTCTCACATGCCAATCGGGCCTGACCACGGAGGTTCGCGAGAACGACGCCAGCCATCCTCTTCGTCTCGATGCTGGCGTTCGCCTGCCAGATCTGCAGGTCTTTCTTGCAGCGTCTGTACAGGTAGTCGTCTGTCGGCCCCGTGAAAAATGGCGGCGTGTCCTGATCAACTCGTGTCTTTACATGCGTGGGCTCTCCTCGTGTCCTGTTTCGCCTCTGGGTCCTGGTGGTGATCTGGTTTGTTCTCCCGTGGGGCGCTTTTGGCCAACGGCCCCTGCCGACGTCGTCATCCTCCTGCAGTCGTCGTCGTCCTCCTCCTCCTCCTCCTCCTCCTCCTGCTACTCGCCCCTTTCCCCCCTCCCTCCTCCTCCTCCTCCGCCATCGGCGGCAAGCTCGGCAGTTCCAAATCCTGGCATGCTCAGGCTGATCCCGAGGTTCGGCTTGAAGGCTGCTCCAAATCTTTGTTCCCCTGCATGCTCCGACGCATCACTCACAAGGGCAACTCGCCTGGCGATCGTTTCTGGATGGGCCAACTGGGATCCGCGGAGCGTCAGGCATGAATCATCACGCGTGCTCACAGTCTAGTTGCAGCAAGACTATGACAGATATGAATCGCCCTGGGAAGCGAAACCACAATCAGTGGCACGACTCCGCAGGGATCCCATAGGCGCGTTGCTGTCGAAGAAGCATCCCCAGACCCCCGACGTAATGATTTTTTCAAGACGTCGACCCCCAGAGGCCCCGACCCTTTCCCCATGACCGGCTCTGCATCCTGAGTCGTTTTTTGACGCTCCCGAGGCCCGGTGAGGGCCCCCGGAGGCCGAAAATTCGGGAAAACCTTCCGTCGTGATTTTTTCGTAACTCGAGGGGGTCTGGGTCAGGTCTTCTGACACGGAAGAAGGGGCGACACGGCGCTGGGCCCCCAACGGCCCCTCGCACGGCACTGCCTGCCTCCATTCCGTTCCGACCGCTCCCACATGCCTCCCGTTGATGTTACGCCTCCGCCCCGATCCGACCGACCCCAGCAGACAAAAAAACATCGCGCGGGCTGCGCTCAAAGCCGAGGGGGCGCGACGCCAACGCGTCGCCGAAGCCCCCTGCCGGGCGCGCGCCGCGCGTCGGAGGAAGATGGTCTGCTGGGGCGCAAGTCCAGTGGCGCGCACGCGCCGGAGCCATGATACGGGCCGCTCCGGGGAGAAACGGAGCCCACCTCCACCGAGATCCCGTCGGGGCGGGACACGCCCGAGCGTCGCCCAGTACTGGGTGGCGCTCGGAGGTGCCGCCGCCCGAGGGGCAGGAGCAACAAGAAGCGGCACCATCACCACCACCAGGGACCACGAGCGGGAGCAGCCCCCCTGGATGGGTGTCCCCCCCCCCCCCCCCCTCGCTCGAGGCATCCCCTGTCCCCGTCCCCTACCCCCCATCCCTGGCTCGTGGTCTTCCTCGCTGGAGGTGATCCCAATGGTGGTGGAGGTGTGGCTTCTTCCTCTCCCGCTGTACTCTCGTGGGCGGCAGTCCCTGGTTCTCCTCGGACGGTGCACGCGCGCAGCAGCACTGCCGAACCGCCCACCCCACGCTGCCCCACCCATGCCCCTCCCTGAGCGCCCCGGCATCCGAACAGCTGGCCGCAGATGCCTGAACACCCCGCCTCCGCATGCCCGTCCAATTCAAGGGGAACTGGGACACACAAATAAATAGACACTAATAAAAAGATTCCCCATATTTTCCCATATTTTCTGGGCTTCTGTCTTCCCCACCACTTCCCATATTTTCCTATATTTTCTGGGACATCGACGATTAATTGTGTCTGTGTGTTTTTTCCCCTCCTGACCAATGACGACCTCAGGGCAAGCAGCGGATGGCCACGCTCGCCAAATCGAGCGTCACGAGACCAAGCTGCCCCGAGCCGCCGGCGGCGCTCATGGTGACGCCGCGGGCCGGCCCGAGGCAGCTCGGGTCCTCAAGCCTGCGCGCCGTCGAGGCCGCCGGTCCGCTTGACCAGATCCTTGCGGAGGCGTGGCTCTTTCACCTTCTTGGTAGGACGTGGGAAGGCGACCCTTTTGCCCTCGGAGAGCATGACGGGCTTGAAGTCGTCGGGGACGCCCTTGCCCATCACGGGGCTGTTGCGATAGCGCTTGATGTTCTCGGAGAGCCCCTGCCAAGTGCTCCAAGTGGTGTTGCACCACGGCTCCTCACGCTGCAACCCTGGGGGCCCGGGAACGTTGAACAGTTTCCGGAACCTCGTTGCGTCCTCGGCATCGCAAAAGTTCTGTCACCGTGCCTTGTGCACGTTGAGGAGTAAAAGAAGAACAAGGGCTGTCCAATAGGGCTTCTGCACTCTAAAAGGAGCCCTCCCCCGCTCACTAGCACTCCCTGCAGGATCGCCCCTTCCTCCCGAAGCTCCCTGGGTCACGCCCCCTCGCAAAAACACTTGATCTGCGCCCCGAGCTTCTACAGTCGGGGCGTTGACCTAATTAAGGAACCCTAAATAAGGAACGAGGCCCCTTTTTTCCATAAGTTAAACTTCGATTTCCTATCGAAAACATAGGACAACCTGAGGCAAAATATGAAACACTTAAGGAACGCGGAGCCCCTCCCCAACCAAAAGGGTTCCTTCTTCAGGGCCCCGACTGTATAACGGCCCAGGCAGGCCACCAAGGCCGCCCTGATGGCCCAAGATGGCTCGAAAATGGCCCAGGATGTCCGCCAGGCGGCCCAAGATGGCCTCAAGACGGCCCAGGATGCCACGAAGAGGGCCCAAGAGGGCCACAAGGAGACCCCCGACTGGGCCCGAAGAAGCCCACAGGATCGATCGCGTTCTCGCCTTCTTGGGTTTCCGTCAGCCCAAGATGGCCCGCGAAGCCTCCAGGATGGCCCCAAGAATCGGGGATGGACAGACCCCCCTTTAGTAAAACGTGGT